ACGTCTTCCTCCCCAGAGTCCGTGGAGTCGCCGTCGGGGAGCACCTGGTGTGCAGCCGATGATGGGCGATGGGAGTCCTCGTGAGCGATCTCGAGTTGGAAGGCCCCTTCTAGCTTGATGTCGGCAGTCCCGACCACCTTCCTCCGCAGTTTGAGATCGCTGAGGCCCCACGCAAACTGGGTCAGCAGATTTTCCTCCACTTTGGTGAAGGTGCAGTCCATCGCCAACTGGCGCAGGGCGGCCATGAAGGCCGCGGCTGATTCTCCCGGCTTCTGCACACGGCCCTGGAATGCCAGCCGCCGGGCTAGCGTCGTTGGTCAGGGCGTGAGGTACTTGGTCAGAGCCTCTATAATCTCCTCGTAGGAGCACTCCAGGATGGACCGGGGCGCGAGGAGGCTCTTGGCGAGGCGGACCGTAGTTACCCCGCAGGAGCTCAGGAGGAGGGCTCGTCTCTCGCCCGGGTCGGATACGTCGTTGTATTCGAGATGGCACGTTAACTGGTCCGTCCACGAGTCCCAGAGCTCGGGATGTGCTGGATCGAAGATCTCCAGATTCCCTCGGGGGGAGGCCATGGCGATGCGGTAGCGCGGAGCGAAGGTTCCTCGTTGCGGTGCGCGATGTGGTGCGGCTGGTGCGTGATGCGGGGCATGGGGTAGCAGGAACGGAGCGTTGCGCTGATGCGGGCCAGGCCAGATTCAGCGGAATCCCATCCTCGTCGCCACTGAAAAGTACTGGGTTCGCCGCATGGAGGACTCGGACGACGACATGCAGTTGCACACATTTATTGCGTACTTAACATGAAGACAACAACGGCCCTGCAAGGCCAACTATATACACCCCCGTTCCCAGGCCTCCCACTCCATTGGAGGGTTTGAATTTCCCGCCACGGAGCCCATTGGTCAGCTAGGGTGGGGAACTAGGATCCGAGGTCCTATTGTCCTGAGGAGCCAAGCTCCGACCTTTCTTGCGGGCGCCTTGTGGCGGACCGCATACATAACTCCACTGCTGCTCAGAGCAGATAACAGTGAACCAAACTCATCAGTCGTCTGCCTCAGTATAAAGCAGCTTTATATGTTAATACTTCTGATATAATCCAAGATATAACTACTCCAGTAAGTGGAAAAAATCATACACATCCCAATGTCAGCATCACATCAAAACAAACAATCCCCCCCCCACCTATAGGAATTCAGAAACCCGGAAACATAATACAAACTGTGTCCTCTCCAACACACTGTTACTGTCCCAAACTCTTAATGCAATAACGACTGCAAGAGAAAACATGTAGTTGTCAGCAAGCTGCCATGGTGTTCTGTGTTACTTGTATGGCTGTACAGTTTCTTCCTTCCCCCCCCTTTTGCCTGCTAGTCGGTATTTTATTCTGCTGTAATGCCTAAGCCAAACAACTGGAGACTTGGTGTAGGAGTGAGCTTGAATGCCAGCTTGTTGCTTTTAGATCCTGGGAACTGCACCTGTATTATGTCTGGAGATAGCAGTGTTCCCAGGCAGTGAGCGCGCAACCGTTTCCTTTCACCCGCCAGCGGGAAATTGACCCATTGGTTATGTGCCTGGTTCAAATCCCTTTATTATGCTTGCCCTAGTCGTTTGTACCCATTCCTAACAAAGAACTTGTTTGAGTATCTTTCCAAAGCTTTGAAATAAATTTTGCTTTTCTGAAACGTGGATTTATTCTCGATGCTTGGGGATCCAACAGTAGTGCAGGACGACAGGGTATCCCAGGTACCTGAATCCTATGATCCAGCTAATATGCTTGCCTTGCACTGGCAAGTGACCTGATAAAGTGGCAGTTGTGGAAAATATCATGCTGCTATATACCACAAAATAAAAACCAAAGCGAGGCCTTCCTACCTACTCTGTTTTCACTGGTAACTGTTCCTTGCTAAAATGAGAAACAGAAGTGGGAACGAAGTCTTATAATACACACATGAGTGCAGTCAAGTCTACTTATGGCAACCACAGCAAGGGGCTTTCAAGGCAAGTGAGCAGCAGAGGTGGTTTGGCATTGCCTTCCTCTGCAGAGTCTTCCTTAGTGGCCTCCTATCCAAAGACTGATCTCGCTTAGCTTCCGAGATGTGACAATGTTGGGCTACACCATGCCACCTTCCTTAGACTGATAATAATAGTTATAAAAGAAACAGTGTCCCTGTGGAGATGAAGTCTGAAGAGGACCTGATTTTTACTGCCCAAGGAAGCCCTGTCCTTGGAATCTGACCCCATCCCTGCAGCCAAGCAGAGGCATTTTATCAAAGGTCAAGGCAGTTCTACCATGAATGGCAGGGACCACTAGCCACCTTTCACTGCTCCTGAAAAACCCTTTGCACAGTGTTTCTGTGGCATGCATGGAGGAGCCTTTCCCAAGCACTGGAGCAGCAGAGCCCCTGACTTTCACTGCCCTGATTTCAGTGGGAGAAGCTGCCAGCACAAAAGTTCTGGATAAGGTAGTTCCCAATCTTATGTTCTCCTGCACAGCATCTGATTAGCTCTTTCTCTATCATTCCTAGGAAAAACAGAGTTTGAAAAATATATACATAATTGCTGTAATTGGCTTGTACCATGTTGAAGCATTTTGCAGCTAAAGAGGAGCAAAGGCTTTTAGACAGCATGTTGGCAAGCCCTGGACACAGATAATCAGAAAAACACGTGCTAAAATGACCCTTATAATCAGGGGTCGTTTCGTAGAAAAAGAGCTAGGGGAACTCATTAGCATAACTCATTAGCATATGCCACACCCCCTGACATCACCGGAAGTGTGTCATAAGGCCACACCCCCCGCCCCCAACGGTCCCGGCCGCCACCACCGGCCTTGCAGCTCCACTGCTGAGCCCCATGAGGGGCCCGGCGGTGGACCTGCAAAGCCGGCGGGAGTGCAAGGAAGCCCCGCGAAGGCCCTCCCTGGCCCCAGGCAGGCAGGGGTGGGGAGAGGCAGGGAGGAAGCAACTTACCCTCCCTCTTCTCCTGCCTCCTCCTGGCTGAATGAGGGCCAGAAGCGGGGTGGCCGGAAGCAGGGGGCGGGGCTTCGTCATGTGCCCCACCCCCAGTACCTCACCCGGGGGAACTGCGATCCCCCACGATCCCCCCCGAAATGATCTCTGCTTATAATCACGGGGTTGGGTCTAGATAAAATCTTCCATCTACAGAATGGAACTTTTCTGCCACCCCCCACCCCTTGCCAGGGCAGCTTACTGATCTCCACAAAATCCTGTTTGTGAGAGACAGGGAAGGACATCCGGCGGGGGGGAGGGGGAATTGGTAGAAATTGCCAATTTAGTCTGGATCCAACCCGTGCATTATTAAAGTCTGCCCTTCCTCTATCAAAAAGTTCAATGGCACCTTATAGACTAGCAACATTTGTTTCAATCAGGGCTTTTTTTGTAGAAAAAGCCCAGCAGGAACTCATTAGCATAACAGGCCACACCCAACAGCAGGAACTCATTAGCATATTAGGTCACACCCCCGACAGCACAACTCATTGGCATATTAGGCCGCACCCCCATGTTACCAGAAGTGTGTTCATCCAGCCACATCCACCTCTTGCTTCTTATTCTGTTTACCCAGGGCTTTTTTGTAGCAGGGACTCAATTGCATGTTAGGCCACACACCCCTAATGTAGCCAATCCTAATGAGTTTCTGCTGTTGGGTGTGGCCTATTATGCTAATGAGTTCCTGCTGGGCGTGGCCAACTTGGAAGCCAGCTGGAACTCCGTTCATGTGCGTGCCTGCCCCCAAATAGCCCTAGTTTCAATATGAGTTTTTGTGAATTACGGATCAGTTCTTCGGAAGGTGCGAGCTGCGACACATGAAAGCTTGTATTGAAATAAATATTGTCGCCAAATTTCTTGTAGAAGTTCTCAAAATTCAAGGAAACTTTAGATTTGAGATAGTTCGGTTTTATTTTATGTAAATTTATATTTGTTTTATATATTATGGATAAGATGCTTTACTCATTCTGTGATTGTTAACATGGCCAATAAAGGTTGATGTATGTAATAAATGTTGTGAGTCTTTACGATGCCATTGGATTTTTGTTCTATTTTGCTATGACTGATTAACTCAGCTACCCGTCTGCAATCTTCCTCCATCAAACCAAGAGTTGATTCTGATGGTGCATAATACCTGCAATACCATAACCCACAGTTCTTATCCCTTGCCATGGCCAAGAACAAAACATTCAGTTTTTTCTCTCGCAAAATGAGTTGAATTTTGCCGTACTTCGTAGTCTTACCCACCCACTTTCCCAGTGTATTCGGGGAGGGGGTAGCTGTGTCCTAGAAAGGGTGGAATTTGCAAGCTGATATCTAACAAGATGAATAGTTGTTTAATTCTGGTGTTAAGCCTCTTGTCAGGCCAGGGATCAGATGCATGTCTGGTTCCTTCCCATTTTCCACCGCGAAGTTAAGGAGCCCTAACGAATGACTTACAAGCTTTTGCCAAAGGAGGAGAATCATTCGGAGATCAATGTGAAGGGGTGAGTAAGATGTAAGTTTACCCCTAATAGGCAGAATCGAGCTTTAGTAAAATCAGGAAGTCTCACCCTTTATTTAAAATGTGAGGTGCACTGGGCTCTTGTAATACACCAAGATGCCAAACCTATCCAGGACAAGTGGTAATTTTAGGGTGTTGCTATCCTAGCACAAACCTTGCATCAAGTTCTGGACAGGATTTACTGAAGGCTGTGAGCACAGATTACAGTTCAGGCTCTTGACGGGCAAACCGGTAGATGCTACTGGCTATACAGATAAAAGTCTTCTGTCGAAAAATCTGAACACAATATCACATTTACCATAAGAAGTAGCACAACTCTCTGCACTTCTTTAAGGAGAATGGAAACCTGCATGGGCAGTCATTGGGGAAAAACACATCAGATATGCATATTTGCTTCCAAAAGGGGCTGTGTTTTACTAAACAAGGAGCTGACGAGAACAGCATCTCAGTTCAAGACTGAGAGAAACCCCGTGTCTCTAGAATACAGGCAAGTCTGAGACTTAGGGCATGAACCATGTTCATAGCTCCCTCTGATGACCACAGAATTCTGCACAACATTTTATTTTTGTTCGTACATCTGTCTGATAGCTGACTGGTTAAGTCCTAATTGCTTCCAAGTGAGGTCAGCAAAGGTTTTCCTTTAAGGGGGGGGGGAGAACAGGCTCAACACGCATCCGAACACATACAGCACACACTGTGATACACATGAGTGTGTGCGCGCACACACACTTGCTTGCACACACCCTTGCTTGCACACACCCTCTTGCGTGTGTTGATTTATGGAAACAATTATGATTCTGTTGCAGTCTCTTCTGAGCAAGGAAAGTTTGTAGCTACATTAGAGTCTCACGTTGCAAAAGGCAGACAACAGAAATGGAATACTGGTGTGTCCAGCTGTTATCAAGAGGAGCAAGTAAGTCATCTGTCTTCTTTAAACCCTCTTAAAACATTTCTTAGCTGCGAACAGCATTTTCCATCCTCGTGATTTTGTAATATCAGACAGCATGCTCTTGACAGTTATTTTATTTTTTTTTAAGAAAGCAGGAGCATATGGGTAGAGGGTCTTAAAGTATATTTGGATTGTCCTGACAATCACATTTGAGACACTGGAACATATCTTTAGCAGAAGTCAGATAGATGAAGCAATCAAATGCAGCAGGGACACTATAGTGAATTTCCTCAGAGGAGTTTGGCAATTCAGCTGAATCATCAGACTTACAATAAAAATGCAAAACTGGGAAAGTATGTGTGCCTATCGTCATTTAAAATGCTGGGTTAAGGTCAGAAAGCAACTGGTAATGTGCATCTTGACCTTTTCCCCCTGACTGTTTTATAGCTACAGAATAAATGGTAAGTTTCTTTGCTTATGTAATGACCATAGAAATTTATGCATACCACTTTCCTCATAGATATTTTGCTTTCAGTGCAAGCGGTGAATTCAAGTAGCAAAGGAAGTCACGGCAGCCAACATTTTTGCAACCTGTTTCTTTAAAAGAATATCCTGGCCGAAAGAAGACTGAAGGGAAAACTCTCTTTGATACCAGTATCTTAACAACGAAGTGTGGACCAGAGTTTTGGATGCGGGAGCAGCCGTTGGTTAAGTACAATTCGCAGGAAGGCAGAGGGACAGGTCAATGACCAAGGAGCAACCAGCTACTGAAGACTAATTCTTTTTCATTATGTTGTTCATGGGCACCCAGAACACTGCACTATAATGCACAAATGGATATTGTCATGGATCCTGCCAACTTTGCTCTACAGATCATACTTTTACATTATCTTCCTGGTGAGTGCCATATCATTCGCTTGCAATGACATGACCCCAGAGCAAATGGCTACAAATGTGAACTGTTCCACCCCTGAGCGACATACCAGAAGTTATGATTATATGGAAGGGGGGAATGTCAGAGTGAGAAGACTTTTCTGTCGAACTCAGTGGTATATCAAGATTGACAAGAGAGGCAAAATAAAAGGGGTACTGGAGCGGAACAGCAACTACAGTAAGTAATCTCCCCGCAATTTGGATGGAACGTTTTTGTATCTGTGTGAAGGCATTTGTTATTCTTTCCATGGTAACTTACGGCATCCAAGTTATTTCAGACCACACTGACCATTGTGGTGGACGGCTGCCTTCCTATTAATCATAAGGCAGGACATTTGGTACTGATTTTGAAATGCGTCATTTTAAATAATACGTTTTCAGTGTGTTGTAGATCGCCTAATGTATTACTTGCAGCTGGGAGCTATTAGAAGTGAAAGCCCATTATAACAAGTGAATTAAGGTTGTTAAGTATTAAAGTCTCAAACCACAAAGCTCTGTGCTCATAAAATGCTTATGAAACATTTAAGAATGCATGCAGCACATAAGACTACCTGTAAGTATAATTCATATGCAAACATCCCCTCACACAACCCAAATTTAAATAGGGACCATGATAAAATAGTACCATGCAAAGTTCTTCTCACAGTTTGACAAACTTGGAATAAAGTCTCTGTCCTAAGCACAATTACACCATCCTGCATCCACTGATGGTCCTAGAAGGCTGTAACTGTGCTTAGGATTGCACTGTAATTAACTTCACAGTCCTTTATGATGATATGACAATTATCCAATCTGTGATTTTATCCTCAACATGAAAAATTTTGCAAAGCGGCATAATCACAAAATTATATTTTGTAATTTTTACAGCAGCCTTGCTGTAAAGTACATGCCCCTTAAAAGTATCCTGTAAGTATTGTAATGGCATTATACCTAGATGAGCTAATTTTATTGAATACCACATGTAGTTGTGCATTTAGGTAAGCAGGAGCTTGTTGTTTTAAAATGCATTTTAACATAATAGCTGACTGGTACAGTAGCACAGGGTGACTTAGGCAACAGAGGGAGCAATCCTAACCAGGTTTACTCAGAAGTACGTCCCATTTTATTCAAAGGGGCTTACTCCCATGACTGTGTTTATAGGATGACAGCCTGAAATGCTGGCCTGTACCGAGTGCAGCACCTAAATAATTATGCTGTCAGACCCAAATTGTAATGACCTGCAAGTTGCATGTCTTTTACAACCGATTTTGACATTAGCCAATTTTATTCTTACAGGCAACCCACTATTACGCAATAGCAAAAATCAGCGTACATTTCTAAAATAGAATTTGCCTAGGAAACCCAGTTGTCATATCTTGGGTCTTCATTCGTGGCCTCCTGCTTCCCTAGATGGGTTTATAGCACCTCACACTGTCCACGGATGGTACAAATTGGCTCTTCTTGAATCTCTGCTCCACTCAGTGTTTCTTAAATGTTTCATATCTGTCCTTTTAAAAGTCTGTCCCACCAAACCCTGAGGTTGGTATGCAAAGAAATGCTTTGAAAGGAACACCACTTAGTTAATCAAACTGACTGAAAGTACTGGGAGCTGAAGAATTACACAGTTCACTGCAGTCTGTGAACAGATTCACGTATATTGGATGTACTTAACATGTACAGGATTGCCACCTTATGCGGTATGTTACAGAAATGTAGATTTTTCTCTGAGATCTGCAGCATAGCACACACACACACCAAAAAAGAAAAGAAAAGAAAGAATCCTGAATTTTGATTTATGCCTGAACCAGATCAGATATTGGGAGAGGCCCCTGCCATACCTGTTGTTATGAATAACATCAAAGTCTCTCCTTTATTTCACTTGTTTGATTTCACTTTTATGCTGGAAAAGCTGTACTTGGAGTCACCAGGCTGATTTCAATATATTCAGTTTAAAATAAGGGTTTTGAAGCCAGGCTTCTTATTCCAAAGCATTGCAGGTGTTCCAAAATGGACTCCCCAGACAAGTAATCTTTTCACTTAAATGGATGGGAAAGATCTACACAAGTAAAAAATGTGTGTGCAAAGATATTCCCTTAATCGAAAAGGTGGGGGAGACTTTCTGCACGTGGGGAGACATTCACTGGAACTCCTGCATGCTCAAGTTGCCACTGGATCGTGATAAGGGAATTTTTGACAACAACCTCTCTGAATTGCCAGTGAAAATCACAAAACCATGTTGTAAATTCATATTACATGACATTTTATTAAATTCAGATGCTGACATTCTTCCTTCATTCCCTCAATCTTATCAAACATAAAAAAATCATAATGAAAACAAGCACATTCTGATCTATATCTAGGATGACCTCACTTAATGTAGGTCTTTTAAAAAATAACAATTTAAGCAAATACAGAAACAAAAAAAAAGAACACAAGAAAAAACACACACCAGATAAAGGGCAAGTCAAGGAGGCTGCGGGGAAAATAACTAATGACTGCCCAGTGAGTATATAGAAATTGGCAACTTAGTCCCTAATCACAGTTGTTGCAGTGATAACAGAGGTTCGTACCCAAACTACAGCAGCAACTTTTCCAGCGTTGCTCCACTTCCCCTATAGACACCTTCCTGTTGCCTCGTCACCCAAATCTGGCATTATGAAGCAACATATACGGGCTAATAAGATTTGTGCAAATGTGTATAATAACAGGAAAGCTGCAATGCCGTTCTTTTTTTAAAAAACGGCGTTTCGAGGGGTTTAAGATTTTCCTAGACTGCTGTTTCTCTGCCCTCCATGTCTTTATGCCTTGAGATTGAAATACATATTCACTTACATATTAAAATCCCATGGGATAGAAAACTACCTGGTGGGTGGTGGTCAAATAGTGGGGGGGAAAGGGTGGGGATCCTTAGGGCTGGAATCATCCCCCCAGCCCTCAGGTATCCTTCTAAAAATATTAGGTATTGGAGTAGCTGCCACAGAAAGGTGGGCACCCCCAGTCCCCCTGTAATGTGAGCATTATTGGTGGGTATGATTTGCATAGCAGAAATGAGGTACCTAGTCCTATTGATTCTCTACTCAAAATCTCCCAGCAGTTGCCTTTTCTTTTAAGCTGGAATTGGGACCTGGTTGCATACATTTGTGCAGAATGTGCAGTTAGCCCTTTAGTTTGAAAACGAGAAGAAGATTCCTAACTATTGAAGCTCTAGGACTGCAGGCCGGTCTTGCTGGAGACGGCAAAGAACTCTGCAGTTTGTGTTGAAACCTGCAAAGATGCACACATTTGTAAAGGGTTTTTTTATTTTTACTCTTCAGCTGTGCTTCAGCTGTGTTCCTCTGAGGACTGATATGGGTTTTCTCCCCCCATTTAAAATATTCTCACCCTCTCTTCTGGAAGTGCTTGAAGAATTGGATGGAGTGGAATTATGTCCCAATCAAAGTTTACTTTACGAGACATTTACTGCATTCTTTCACTTGGTTGCCAGGGTCTAACGTCTGGCTTGACTACTGAAACCTTCTCTTCTTTGGCCTTCCAGTGGCAAACTTCAGTCACCTCCTGTCTGTGCTAAACTATACTGCCAAATTCATCCTGACACTCTGAACACACAACACCTCTCCTTATGTCCCTCTCGAATGTGAGGATGAGGATGAGAAATCACAAATGAGGTTTGTGAAGCTGGAGGAAGGAAAGTGACAGGCAAAGGGATGAGAGGGAGTAAGATTAAGGAGGGTTTTGAAGGTGAGCATGAGAAACCAGTAACTCTCCTTAATCTTACTCCCTTTGATCCCTTTCTTCCTCCAGCTCCACAAATCTCATTTGTCTGATTCTACTCCTTATGCTTGGACTTCCCTTGCAGAAGACCTACATGATACCACTTTTTTGCCTCCTTAAAGCCCAAATTTCCATGAGGGCTTTGGCTGTATCCCCTCAGTCCTCATCCCCAACTGATTTAAGCTGAAGGAGGTGTAACTGAATTTGCACATATCTCATCTCCATTCTCTCTGTGGACTACCTGACTGTCAAAAATTCAAACTAATCTAACTGGGACAGTCATCTGTCTTTTCTTCTCTTTAGAGCAATATTATTTATTAACAACAACCATATTCAGGGATGGAAGAGTATTTTATCCCCAATCCAGAGTCTTTGGGAGACTTTGATGTGGTGCTATTTTGTTTGTAGTCTGGCTCTTGTGAGTCAACACGGTCTACAGAAAACCTGCTATGGAGTCAGGCACCCTATTCAGTTTGGGGGCTCCAACCTCACATAAAAGGAGAGTGTGCTACCCGTGATGACCCTCCCAATACACGCAGTCACCATTTTGAGCAAATAGGGCAACACATATCTTTTTAGCTTTGGCATGTGCAAATGTGTATTCCTTTGACAAGTACCAAAGCTGGAAAATACACGCATAGACCCATTCACACAAAATGGTAATTTTTTGTACTGAGAAGATCACATGCAGCAAGTGTTGTGGGAATGCAACTGTAGCACTTGTCAGTATAAACTAACCCTGTATAATGTGTTACCTGCACCTGTTCCCACCCCCTTTAGGTTCGTAATGGTCTAGTGAGTGCCCCTTACCAAGGCGGGGTAGAATGTTAAAAAAGTTAGCTGGAATGCAACACAAGGCTATTAAAACAATAAAATTGTTTATTAGCTAAAGACAAACAAGGAATACAAAACAGAGTACTTACTTCCTAAAAAAAGACAGTCAGTGGTTAAATATACAGAACAAAGATTTCCCCATGCACAGAAGCTTCTGGACTGGCCCAGAGAAATCACGAAAGACAAAGCCTTCCCTGGATCTCTGAGAGTCAGTGCTGAAATGGAGCTTCTTGCCTTCTTTTATACCAAATTGGTCACATACATTTTGATAGAGCTATAGAAATTATAAACGGCATCAATTAATCTAACTGCACTGGTAATGTGGGCCATTATGGCATATGCAATGTTCCCACATTCCAGAGGCAATGGAGTTACCCTGATGCTTTAGCAAAACAATTCAAGATAGCACCTAAATTTCCAAATGACAAACTCAAGAATGTTAGTTTCAGGATGTCCTTTGTTTTCTTGAAGCAAGGTAGCCAGCCAGGCACTGTCTCCTGGCTGGAGATGTGATGTGAGTTTCGGCATGTAGACAAACCTTTAGTATTGCAAATATTCTGGCTTCCTTGACTTAATGGCAGGTGCATACCAATC